ATAGGCCCCCCACTTGTTTCTTATTCACAACAATAATAATAATCATTTTATTTAATAATTTATAAAAATTTATGTTCTTTTTAAAAAAATATATTAAAATGCAAACATTTATGAGGGTTTATAAACGCGATTGGACCAGCCACATTCAACTGTGAACCAATCTTAAGGCTGGTCTGTCAGGCTTTGAAATCGGAACAGGTCAATGAAACCTGGGAGAAGGAGGGGTTAGAGGTTTGATGGTTAGACCCGAGGTCGAACCGGATGACGGTAATAAATATTTATTATATTTAAAATATTATAATAATGACACAATTATTTATAAATATATAACAAAAATATATAATATAATTAATAATATTCTTACTTATAATAATATTAAGGTGACGAAAGCTAAGTACCGCTTTCCACGACTTAGCCAATCTATATGCTTTTTTCATTCACAAACAATGCAAATTAAAATAAGAGAAATTTAGGGCAGATAGTTCATCCATGCACAACAATATAGGTTCATAAATTTTTTTATCACCAAATCTGGCAACACAAAACAAAAGGAAAATCCACCAAAACATTAAAATGCCTAACTTCCGATCCTACAGGTAAGGAACGTCGTCGGAGGAAGCAGAGGAAGGCGCGAAGGATGAAAAGTTACCTTTACAATCCGGCGAAGCCTCACGTGTTGCTTCCGATGAAATATGTCTAACTTCTCGATCTAATGAGAAGGGCAAGGGACTCGGAGAGGCGACGTCGATCAAGCCACGAGGTTCTGGAGAAGCACACGAAAGGTGGAAAGTTACTTTCTACAGTTAGCGTCTCTCCGTTCTTATCTTCGATCTCCCGATCAAAATGTCGTAACTTCCGTCGACGAAGCAGGTCGGACAGCAGTGAACCGAGCGAGGAAGAATGCGTGAAATTGAGAAAATTTAACTTCAGCATCCCTCCCGTTCTGGCTTCCGCTCAAAATGTCGAAACTTCCGACCGGAACGGATTATTCAAAACCGGAGCCAGTTTTCCGGTTTCGATCCCCGGTTCGAGCCCGGTTCGATGCGAAAACGGTTTCTTAGAGACCCGTAACCGGTCCGGCCGGCTGGTTCAGCCGGTTCGAAAAAAAAAAAAAAAAAAAAAAAAAAAAAAACAACCGGTTGAACGACGGTCCCGGTCCGATTTTAAAAGCCTTAGCTTGGGTCTGATTCAATACTAAAATTATTTCTGCGTGCAAATCGGCGTTAAACCTAGACGCAGAACTTGCGACTCATCCAGTGAATCAGTCACCATCCATTGAACTGGCAAGTTTCAATTTCCAATTAATTTAATAATTAAGATAATTAATTTAATATAGATTAATAATAAAATAATTAATTAATAAATATAATTTAACAAATTAATTTACATGTCACCATCACTCAAATTAGTTTTTATCTCACTCAAACACAAAACACAACATCAACACTACACACTACAAGAGAGTTTCAAAGTGGAGTGAAGCAAAAATAAAGTTTAACTTCCAAACTTCTAAGTTTACAAAATATACAAGAAATTTTTAAACAAATTTTTTTAAAATAAACTTCTTAATGATGTAAAAAGTATTTTTTGTAATTAATAATTTTTAATTAAATTATATACTTCAACGGATTTTTTAGGTACTATCAATTTATTAATTGATTAATTATTAATAATAAATGAGATCTAAACATAATAGTATTTATAATAATAATTGATAGACATGACTTTAATATATAATTTAATATGTCTAATTATATCCAAACATATAACATAAAAATAATAATAATTTATATTTAATATATATAATTATATTAAGACCAAATTTTTATTAAATTGTGAATTTGTTATATCATATTGATATATACTATCAGTATTTTTTATTAAATAGTATTGCGTAAATTAGGTATTATTGTAGTAATACTATCATATTGCATAATAAATTCGAATATTTTAAGTAATAAATAAAAAATTGCATTGCAAAGTTTATTATTTATATCTATGTATACTTCAATAATTTCTTATATGTTTGCCAAATTTTCAAAAAAAATAATAATAATTAAAAAAAAAAACGTAGACAAATATGCTTTTAAATAAAATTAAAAAATAAAAACTATACTTCCTATGTTAATGAAAAGGCCAAAGGAAGCTTGCAACAAATTTCCCAAGATAAAGGACAAATTTGCAATTTAAGCAAATGCGGGGCCCAGAAATTGGAAGCGAAGAGGATGAATGGTTATAAAAGGATGGCTAATGGCTTCAAAATCTTGAGGTGGTTTGCCCCCCAATTGCGAGTCATCTAGACCGAGCTACACAGAATTACCCTAAGCTTGTCGAGCACAAGTTAACACAAAGAGAGATGGGAAGGGCTCCTTGCTGCTCTAAGGTCGGACTCCACAGAGGACCATGGACTGCAAGAGAAGATGCACTGCTCACCAGCTATATTCAGAACCATGGCGAAGGCAACTGGAGATCGCTTCCCAAAAGAGCAGGTACACATATGATCATATATTTATATACCTTTTCTTCTTCATGCATACTATATTGAATATTTCATGCATGGTTCTCTCTCTCTCTCTCTCTCTATATATATATATATAAAACTCTAATATTAAATGTGAATTAAGAGGTAATTGTTTTGGAAGAATAAATATTATTATTGAAAATTACAACATAGTTTTTTAATAAAATATTAAAGAATAGATTGTGACAGGCCTATGTATGATATTGCTATTTCATTATTTTAAGAGATATATTACCAAATATAATGATTTAGATTGTACTTAAGCCTATTATTTTTCATAGAATTTGTTATAACATATTGATATATACTATCAGTATTTTTTATTAAATAGTATTGCGTAAATTAGGTATTATTGTAGTAATACTATCATATTGCATAATAAATTCGAATATTTTAAGTAATAAATAAAAAATTGCATTGCAAAGTTTATTATTTATATCTATGTATACTTCAATAATTTCTTATATGTTTGCCAAATTTTCAAAAAAAATAATAATAATTAAAAAAAAAAACGTAGACAAATATGCTTTTAAATAAAATTAAAAAATAAAAACTATACTTCCTATGTTAATGAAAAGGCCAAAGGAAGCTTGCAACAAATTTCCCAAGATAAAGGACAAATTTGCAATTTAAGCAAATGCGGGGCCCAGAAATTGGAAGCGAAGAGGATGAATGGTTATAAAAGGATGGCTAATGGCTTCAAAATCTTGAGGTGGTTTGCCCCCCAATTGCGAGTCATCTAGACCGAGCTACACAGAATTACCCTAAGCTTGTCGAGCACAAGTTAACACAAAGAGAGATGGGAAGGGCTCCTTGCTGCTCTAAGGTCGGACTCCACAGAGGACCATGGACTGCAAGAGAAGATGCACTGCTCACCAGCTATATTCAGAACCATGGCGAAGGCAACTGGAGATCGCTTCCCAAAAGAGCAGGTACACATATGATCATATATTTATATACCTTTTCTTCTTCATGCATACTATATTGAATATTTCATGCATGGTTCTCTCTCTCTCTCTCTCTCTCTCTCTCTCTCTCTCTCTCTCTCTCTCTCTCTCTCTCTCTCTCTCTCTCTCTGTGTGTGTGTGTGTGTGTGTGTGTCAAACGAAGAACTCAAATGAATCCATCAGCTTCATGAGCATGTTCTCTTTGTTGATTTCATTCAGCATATGGTTGATAAGTAATTTGTACTTGCAGAATTAGTTTCTTTAATAATATCATATGATTCTCTATTTCTCTGCATAAGCAAATTTGAAATATGAATAATAATATGTTCATTCTTAAATTTATTGGTTATTCCTTCAAATAAGGAAGAAATGGAATGTTATACAGTTCTGTTATGCAACATAATATATAATTAGGGTATAAGTAATACATATTTATTGCATCATAAGATAATTAGCTTAATATTCATGAGAAGAGGCCTGTTCAGAATATTCTTTCATAAATTTAGTTCAGAATTTGAGTTCCTCATTAATTCCTGTAAGAAATTCACTGTAGAAAATTATATGAAGAAGAATCAAGCTGTATGCATTTCACATTAAAATATTGATGAAATTCAAGAAGATTAATGTCTTGATTGATATGAAGTCATCGTCTTGCACTTATCAAATTTGAAATGAAATGAATTGAATCTGTTGAAAAGCAGTAAAAATAGTATTTTCTCTCTAGAGTCAATCAGATTTATCATGAAGTCTGTCTTTAGACTGCGGTTCTTCCACGCAGCTTCGCTGAAGACAAATGTAAATTAATGTCAGTTCTTTCTTGTAGAATTACTCTGTTACTAAGTCTCGAAGTCTAATTTTAATATTCCACCTGGGCCTTATTGTCCAAAATCTACAATTAATCAACAAGTAATCATAGCAAAATCCAAATGATATGGACATATATTTTCGTACATGGTACTATATTTAGTCTTAATAATGCACGTATTCATGCACATAGGTCTACTTCGTTGCGGGAAGAGCTGCAGGCTTCGATGGATGAACTATCTTCGCCCAGATATCAAAAGGGGGAACATTGGCCCAGAAGAAGAAGACCTCATCATCCGCCTCCATTGTCTCCTTGGCAACCGTTGGTCTCTCATCGCCGGACGCCTCCCTGGTCGCACTGATAATGAAATTAAGAACTATTGGAATAGCCACCTCAGTAAAAAGCTCAAGAATCAAGGCTTCGTTGTACGAGAAGGAACCCCGAGGCCTAAGCGATCGGCAGCTCCTAACTCAGATAATAAAAGGAAGAACAACAATAATGTGAATAACAACAGCAAATTTGCCAAGATCATGCAAGGCAATGACGCACCTGAGAGTACCAAAATATATGCTCCTAAGCCTACAAGGTTTAAGCCTAAGTGGTTAGGGATGGAAAAGAGTGAGAGCATGACAGGAGACGGTGAGAAAGGGACATCAGAAGCGAGCAGTGCAACTGATAATGCAGATTTGGTATCATGGTCACAGGTTGATCATGTTAGGGAATTTGATCAAACGGTTGGATTTCTTAATGCAACCCATTGGGATTTGGCTTCTGATTTTTCCATGCAAGATGAATCACTTGAGAGACTATATAATGAGTACTCACAGCTCTTGCAGTTTGAGGTTGATGTGAATCAATTAGCTGAGCCTCTAATGCTATAATAAGATTACAGTTACTGCATGCATTCAAATATTTGAAGATTTCCAGCATTAATGTGCATGTTAATGGAAGTATGTAAGAAAATGTACTTAAACATAGATCAATCGATCTCTCATGATGTTAAATATTAATGCAAATGGAAATGTACGAGAGTTTCAAGAGTATGAGTATGTATAGTACGTCTCTCTAATTGAATTTTATATGGGAACAGAAAGGCTATCGTATTTTTTTTAAGTTATGAACCTTATTGTGAGACTTAATGAGGTTTTGTTGCGCCCTTCAAGATTAAGAATTAGATATGTGAATAAAATAATATTTAAGTATTATTTATATATTTTATTATAAAATATATGCAGCAATTTTTTATAGTTTAATCATTTATATCACAACACAAATATTTTTATATTTACATCACAACATATAATAGAGAAATGTTTCATATTAATGTATAAATGATAACATAATTGAACCAATATGAATAAAAAAAATTAATATTAAATAGTATTATTGTTATTTAAATTAAAATATAAAATAGTTCTTGTTCAACATTCTCTTTCCTGCCTCCCCTCATCTCTATGGCGATTTTAGGGTTCTCTTTTTTTCCCCTGCTCCTGATAACATCTTTTTCTCGTTCTCTCTAATTCTCGGATCCCTATGCATGAATTTGTGATATGTGAGAGCCTTGGAGGTTAGGGCCTTCTTTGGCCCATGCATGGATCCATGGCAACACCTCCCTAAGGGTACTTCATTAGCAACTGTCTTTGATAAGAATCAAGGTTTTTTTGGTCTGATTGGGGAAAGTAAAAATCCTCCATCCCTATCATTTAAAGATGTAGCTTATGGTAGTTCTTCGTCTAATGCTCCTGCTTTTTTATTATTACTTTGATTTTTAAAGGCATGCATGCCAGTTGTTTTGATAGCAAATGAAGAAGTTATTAAACTTACCCTCCTTTCTGGTTTACTTTAGTAGTAAAGTTTTCTATGAGTAGGACGAATCTTGATGCCATTCGTATTTTTTTCGAAAATCTTAAACACTTTGGTTTGTTTTTTGTTAGTCTGTTGGATGCGTGTCAAGTGGCCATTCAACTCGCCAATGATTTGTACTATAGTTGGGTTTTCGCTAGGCATTCTTACTACATTAACAATTTCCAAATGTGTCTCCTTAAATGTACGCCATTTTTTGACATTAAGGAAGGATATCCTATTGTTTCGATCTAGATTTCATTCTCTAATTTACTTTTATATTTTTCAACTATCGGGTTTTGCATACTCTTGGTTCCATTTTTTGGAGGCCGCTTAAAACGGACCAAGCGACCGCCTCAAGGATGAGGCCTTCTATGACTTGAATTCTTGTTGAAGTGGATATCTAGAAAAAACATCCTAAAGAAATATGGTTACTGGTTAGAGACAAGATCAGATGGGTATATGCAGAATGTTATTTTTTAAAAAAAGTTCCAGATTTCTATAATCATTGTAATATTCACCGGCATGCTTTGAGTGATTGTTTCATGTTACACCTGTATATCTTTTAAAAACCCCCACCCTCTTCTACTATTGATGATGGAGCCAAACTTAGGGAGCCGTTGATTCTTAGCGATGATAGTGCCAAATCTCAATTAGATCTCATGGTTCCCACTTCTAGTAATAAGTCTAGAGGGAGGAGGAGCCTTTGGGAGCAATTACATGATTTTTCTCTAAGTCCTAATGTCCCTTGGCTTGTTAGTGGTGATTTTAATACGATTTCTAATGCCACTGAGAGGATTGGGGGCAACATAGGGGAGTCAATTTCGGGTCATGGGTCGGGTTCAGGTCGAACCCGAAATTGACCCGGCACTATTTGGGTCAACCCGAACCCGACCCTTTTTTGAAAACGGGTCGATTTTTTGAACCAAAACCAGAAATTTTAATCATTGGTCGTTTTTGACCCAATGATTTGTACTATTATTCGGGTCATATCAAGTTAATCCATTTAATTTCGACACGATCCGAATGGCCCATTTCCAACAAAAAATTGTTAGTTTTTGGGTCAAAAACGGGTTTATCTCCTCTTTTTCGCATCAAAAATGCGTCAAAATCGGGTAAATCTCGGGTTGTCGTGTCAAAACAGGTCAATTTTGAGTCATTTTCGGGTCAAAAGATTAACCAGAATCCGACCCGATTTTTTGAAACGGGTCGAAATGTTGAACCCAAAATTGACCCGTTTCGGGTTCGGGTTGACCCTATCCTAGAATTTTCGGGTCGGATTCGAGTCAGGTTTTCAGGTCGTGTCAAATATTGACACCCCTAGGGCAACTCCTTTAATCCTCAAGCAATAGATGACTTTAATACTTTGGTTATAAATTGTAATTTGCATGACATTGGTTGCTATAGGGGTACCTTTACTTGGAGCAAAGCCACCATGTGTCAAAGAATTGATTGTATCCTTTTTAACAATAGTTAGATTGCTAATTACCCCTTGACTCATGTGGAACATTCACTTGAGTAGAACTTTGTTGCAACACTTTCCTCTTTTAGTTAGTATTAATTTACACAAGGTTATTGTGTCATCTGCTTTCATATTTTAGAACATGTGATTCTTAGATGATTCCTTTTTTAAGGTTGTTGAAAATAATTGGCGTGCCCCAATTTTTCCTAGTAATAACATATATGGTATGAATAGATTATGGTCTAAACTGCAAAGGTTGAAATAGAAATTGACATGGTGGAACAAAGTTGTCTTCAAAAATATCTTTACCAATATAAGGGAGGCTAAAAAAATGTTAATGATTTGGATATTCTTTATTTGAATGACACTTTTACTCAAAATTTGTATCTTCTTAATAAAGCTAAAATGGAATTGTATCAATTACAGGAGGAAAAAGCTTTTTGGAGATAAAAAGCATCCTCTAAATTTTTATTGGGTTATGATAAGAATACTAAATTCTTTCATGCTACTACTAATAAAAAAGTGTTATGAATCACATTCACAACATTACTAGTTCTGATGGTATTTCTTATGATAGTGAAGATTTGATTGCTACTTTCAGGGTTGAGTATTTTAAAAGCATTTTTAATTATAATTTTAGCTCTGATCCCATTCAAAATGCTCGTATCATTCCTGAATTAGTTAATGCTGATGATAACAACTTTCTCATTCAGTGCCCTTCTTTAAAAGATATTTTGGATGGGACTGATCCTGACGGTTTCACTACAAAGTTTTTTTTTCAAAAAGCTTGGGAAGTCATCAAAATGGATATGGTGGATGCTGTTAGAGATTTTTTAATGGGTCTCCTTATCACAACTTTTTCTCTTTCTCTAGCATTATTTTAATTCATAAAAAGGTGGTCACTATCTTTGGGTGGATTTCAGGTATATAAGTTTGTATTCTTTATTAAATAAATTAAACTTTAAAATAATTATGGGAGGATTGACTTCGTTGCTTCTTAAAATTATCTCCTGGGCCAAACTGGGTTTGTTAAAGGTCGTAACATTTTTTATAATGTGCTTTATTCTTAAGAAATTATGCATGATGTTAATGCTAAAGTAAAGGGGGGTAATGTTATATTTAAGCTTGACATTACTAAATCCTATGACAACCTTAACTAGAAATTCTTATTAAGATATCATATATCTTTGGTTTCAATTCTTTTTTCATTATGTTTATCAAGAATAACATTGAAAATAATTATTTTTCTATGATCATCAATGATAAAGGTCATAGTTTCTTCAAATCATCCCAAGGTTTAAGACAATGTGATCTTATTTCTCCTGCTTTATTTATTATTATGGTTTAATATTTATCTAGGGGTTTGGAGGATCTTTATAATCAATATCTCAAACTTTATTATCATATTTTTGGTGATTTCTCCTTACTCATCTTAGTTTTACTGATAATTTTATTATTTTCTCTAATGATTCTTTAAATAACCTCAAGTTTCTCTTTAAATTTTTATTACAGTTCCAAAAAATTTGTGTTTTGAACATTAATAAAGACAAGAGTTTTTTTATTACTTCTAAATCTATGAATCATGGTAAAATTAATGCTATTCATCATAAATGTGGTTTTGTTTCTAAATCTCTCCCTATTAAGTACTTGGGGACACTCTTTCTGAAGGTAAGAAAAGGTCTCATTTGTTTGAGTATATTTTTGCTTCCATTCAAAGAAAATTATTTACCTAAACTTTTAATTTAATTTTCTCTTTTGGTGGTAGGTTAGTTTTAATTAAAAGTGTTCTATGTTTTTATATATTTATATTTTTCATACTATCCATCCTACTTTAACTATTTGCTTGATCAGTATGGAGAGACTTTTTAATAAGTTCTTTTGGGGATCTAAAAATAATAGTTCTTATTTTATTTGGTCCTCTTGGAAGAAAAAATGTGGTGCCCTTGATGAAGGGGGCTTAGGTCTAAATGTATTATGGACATGGATCATACTTTCTCTTATAAATTATGAATTTTCTTTAGAACAAATAAAAGTTTGTGGGCTAATTCATGATTAACAAGTACTATCAAGGTAATCACTTTCTTTTATGTCATTATAAGGGGACTGATTCTTTTGTTTGGAAAAGACTCTGTTCAATCAAGTGGGAAGCTGAGGAGCACATTCAATAGAGTATTGGCAACAGTAGTATTTTCTTTTAATAAGATAATTGGATGGGATCTTATTCTATTGATAATTTTTACACTCTCATTTTACTGCTTCTATTAAGGTGAATAGTTTCATTGAAGATGATTAATTGAATGCTAATAAATTATTGAATTTTGTTCCAATTTTTAGTTGATAAAATTATGCAAATTCCATTACAAATGAACATTGAGGATCATATTTTGTTTAAGCTATCCATTTCTGGTAACTTTGATCTTAAGAATGTGTGAAATTCAATTTGAATTATTCATTATAAATATTCTCTTTTTGTTGCTATTTGGCATAAAAATATCCTTGTCCTATTCTATTCTAGCTTGGAGAGTTCTATATAAAATGCTTCTTATTGATGTTCTCTTGATAAAACAAAGTTTTCATAGTCCTTAAAAATGTTAATATTGTTACCATATTTAATCCTTGGATCATATTTTTGTGAATGTTACCAGATTAAAGTATGGAGTTATCTTCATGACATATTTAATAATTATAACTTCAACTGTAATAGTGAAATAACCTCTATCTTGCATTATTGGTTCTCTCCTGTTAAAGATCATATCACGAATTAATTCGATTCATATTCTAACTATGTGGTTGTATTGGATGAAAGGAATGATTTTAAGCA